TCATATAAGATAAAGTATACGAGTAGGCATAAATAACACAGTATTATACTAGTACATTTACCCCCTTGAATAAAAATTTGACGGTCGCAATTTATTTACCTTTAATTAAAATATTTTTTTAAATCTAATCATATCTTTTTTGGGTCTATTTTCAACCGACTTTCTCAAAAAGGAGGAGGTTCTCAATTCGGCTGTATGCTTTTTTTATGTTTGTTACCTCAGAACTCCGTCATTTATTAACTGTTTTTATCAATTTTTGTTTTATTTGAAAGTGTATACTTTCAGATTGGTCCCATTTAAATTTCAAAAAAAATTCCACCCCTAAGGTTGGAAAAATAATATATAATAATGAATTTAACCTACTTCTAATTGTCATATTGGCTTGAAACTTTGCAAGTGTTTCTATTTCCGTTGATAGTGCAGCGGTTTGGTATCTGATCCAGTAAGGCCAGAAGGTGGATAGGTGGAACTCTTCAACGGCTAATAGTAGATACTTTGAGTTTGGGCTTATTTTGTTTGATTTGACAAGCCTAACACGTTAGAATCGGATTTTAGAGCCAGAATTTTTAGTGTTACTAAAAAAAGCGAATTTTAGTTCGTATCTCTTCGTATAAAAATTGGCATCAAAGTAACTTAAAACGGTTTAAGCGAATATTTTATTAAAATTATTTCTTCTAATTTGCTACTACTATGTCTACACTAAAAAGTAAAAAATAAATGATTGGTAGTTTTCGGTGCCAGCCCATACAAAGCAAAGCACACCCACTTCGAAAATATTTGATTAGGTATGTATAGTAAATAAAAACTACCAATCATTTATTTTTTACTTTTTAGTGCTTTTTTGAAGTCGGTTTTATTTTTTTGTTGATTTTTTTTTTATTTAGTAATTTTCACTAAACATCAATCCATACATATAATAAAATTGTAACTAAGTCGAATCTATACATTAAATATTTTTTGGAAAATCTAATTGAAATAGACATTATTATTGTTACAGAGTCCGAATCTATAGTTTTAGAATTTTTGTCTGTCTGTCTGTCTGTTATCGCATCACGAGAAAACCACTGGACAGATTTTGATGAAATTTGGTATGGTGAGAGCTGTTTATCCGGTTCAACTTTTAGGATACTTTTTACCGCGGGAAAATATCTCATTTCTGAGAAAATATACCAAAACTGCATTGTAAGACTATACTAATATGTAAAACCTAAGAATTTGGTTTTTGGTCATCTGAACGCGGGCGGAGCCGCGGGCAATGCTAGTAACATATAAATACAGATAACGCTATCTTTTGAAATAAATAAACTAATTTTTCTTTGTGCCTGATGAGACACCCACTGTTCGAGTTTATATATAAATTTTAAAATACTCGATTATTTTTGTATTTATGTACGAGAACCCTCAAAGTACTATCATCATGCCCCATTAAAAAAACCTTTCAAGTCGGCTTATGACGAGATAAATCTTCTATTTTTTTCTCTCGATACATAATAAAAACTCGATACATTGTAATATTATCTATGTATATATTGGTTATTGATGCAAGTTATGTTTTCGCCATCTACTGAACTTCGTTTAGATTATCCTTTTAGCCTTTCTTAATAAAAACTTGACTCCTGTGATATTCGATTGGAGTTATAATAAGTCATGATTACTACTATACTAAAAAATTTATTTTTTATTTAAATTTAATATTACGATGAGACTGCAAGGCCACAGAACGAGTTTAACAATATGATCTATGGAGCTTATTTTTAACCTGTCATTATAAAACTTAATTTTACACGCATCAGCATTTTTTTTATTTCGAATACGATTTGCGAAATTAAAAAACATTTACATCATAATATTATAATATAATAAACGTGTTTGCATGTATTTAAAAGGAAGGTACTATTGACATCTGTACACTGTAGCTTAGATTAGCTCTGGTTGTTCTAAGCTTGCTAACGGTGAGTTTATATTATATGGCCCACTTATTCATTAAGAAGGTTTTTTAAGTTTTTGTCCAGTCATTGAAGACATAAAATGGGACTTTCGCTACGAAAGGTCAATATGAACTCTCCTAATTTGGCAGAGAGTTAAAGTCGTAATCAATATTTAGATTTACCACTATTTGCGCCGCCATAGTGGATAAATCGTACCAAATACTAGTTTTTCGAGAATGTATTCTCTCGTCGTCATCTAAGTCATGATTTAGGATAAATGGTCCTTATAAAAATTATAGAGCCTAAAATTTCCTGCAACTTTTGCGGAAAGCATTTATTAATTTTTCGTGGACTTATTTTGATTTTTGGTTCGCGACGCTTCGAATGCTTTACAGCAGCAGCAATCATAGTTACAAGAGACTCTCCAAATTTCAAAGATTCGAAATATTTCATAGATTATGCCCGTTAAAATCTTCTTCGCCATTTTTGAGATGAACAAGTAAAGGACAGAAAATAACAAAAATTCAATTCAATACTAGCGCACGCTATCGACTAACGAAAAAATAAATTATTTGAAAACAGCGACATCTGGCGTTAGTTGGCAAAAGCTTTATTTAACTTATGACAGAAGTCACAATTGTGCTATTACGCGCTAGATGTCACTTCTTAATAAAAAAGCGCGATCTGAGAATATGCACTACAAACCATTACCTACGAATGGGGAAGAATATTGCCTTTTTCACCCACCAGATGACGCGATCACTATAGCCCTCATCTACAGGTAAACATTTACTTTTTATTTTTTGTACTTTTTACATATTAATTACAAAGTTTCATACAATATTAATACCCTATTTTACCCACTTGGGGAATGAATTTTGGAAAAAAAAATCTTATCAGATGCCTACATCATATTAGGAATACGCAGGGTATAAAATTATTAAGATAAATATATATTTTGATAATTATCGCGATAATTATCAAGATAGTTATCAAGATAGTTATCAGATAACTATCCGATAATTATCAAACAGATATAAACTTAGCAATCCTTGTGTAGGTATTGGTATTTGACTACTTGCCTATCGTAATTTACGTTAGAATAAATTATACACTTTCACAATCAAGGTAAACTTTTTTTATTATTATTATTTTCATTATTCTGACATATACAAACTTGGAAATAAAAACAGAATAAATTTAACCAACTATATAGACACTATTTAATTAAATGAAAGGTCTCTGCCCACTACAACGTCTCATACCATGACCCTGCTAGGACCATATCAGGCAAAAAAATATTATTTATACTAGCATGGCCCGCGGCTCCGCCCGCGTTCAGATGACCAAAAATCAAATTCTTAGGTTTTACATATAAGTATACTCTTACAATGCAGTTTTTGTATTTTTTCTCAGAAATGATATATTTTCCTGCGATAAAAAGTATCCTATATGTTGACCCAGATAACCAGCTACCATCATACCAAATTTCATCAAAATCTGTCCAGTGGTATTCTCGTGATGCGGTAACAGACAGACAGACAGACAGACAGACAGACAAAAATTCTAAAAACTATAGATTTTCCAAAAAATATTTAATGTACAGATTCGACTCTGTTAGAATTTTATTATATGTATAGATTGAAAAGTATGGACTATGCCCACTAGACCGTTCCATCACCGACCAAGACCGTTCCGCCTCTGACCAACACCATCGCGTGTAGTGCACGGAAAGTTAACAATAATTGTCGGCAAGAATATTTTGCCGGTGCCGATACGGTCCGTGCCTGGCATGCAACGTTGCCGAACCGATGCGCGCAGACGGCGAAACGCTGAGCATACGTGTTATAACTGCGTATGATGATCGTTCTAAGCCCGTTATAAACGTGTTGCCGCCTTCTAGTGATAATATTTTATTTTATATTGTTTTTTAAACGGCGTGCATCTGGTAACGTCGTGATCGACTTATGTTATTCTCTTTCTTCCTCGTCTAAAACAATGGCTATCATTGTTAATGTTCTGTCGGACAAGTTTCTAATAGCCATCGTATAGATATAGGAAATAATTTTCATAACAAAAATATTCACTCGCTCTTCCTGAGGCGGCTGCCTCACGCGAAAACAGGTGAACTACTACGACTGAGAAAATGGGAACTATACGGATATGACACGCGGATGGTACGCGGTTGATACGCGAATGATACGTTCTAGTGGGCATAGTAGTCCGTGTAGCTTGTTTTCGTGCCTGATACGTTCATAGCACGGTCATGGTATGAGACGGTGTAGTGGGCAGACTCCTTAATGAGTGGAATATCATCCACATCCTCCTCAACTGCATTAACTCAGTTTGCTGATTGAGTTTTTTAAGCTGATCAAGAGAAGATTGAAGAGTTACAAATTAAATATTTTCAATTATATTTATCAAAGATAATTATCAACCCATATTTATCATGATAATTATCAATGATAATTATCGTTTCGAACCCTGGTTTTTTTTGAAGATTTACTTCAAAATTTCCTACCAAAAAAATGCATTATGTCGTACCAAAAAAAAACTATAATTTTCATGAAAAGATTGCCTTAATAATATTCTTCCACGTTATGCCTATTGAAGGATAAAAAAGGGCGTCTTATGCAGATATTTCTGTAGAATTTTATACGTAATAACCAAACGCAACGCAGTCTCTGCTATATCTTCATCTCACGTAAAAAGTAGTCATATCATCATACTACTGTACTTACCTACCATTGCAAGATAATAATAATGTACGTGCACTTTCGTCTGTTGCAAAGACGTCATTTATCTGAGCTTTATGAATATAAAAGTACAGTGTCGCATCTAAGCGGAACATGCGGTAACGCCGCCAGCGAACCAGTCGTTAGTCGTGCCAGTTACAAGCCAACTCAGAGAGCTAGCGCACGTTATTTTTCTGTTTTACTGAAAGTTTTACACGTGATTGTGAGAAATAATAAACTATTCCATAGAAAAAAGAATATTAAATATTTACATATAAGTTGACACATATATTGTAATAGACATTTTTATATTTAAAAATCTGGTGTAGTTTTCACGATGCCGGCCCAAGCTCAAACTCAAGTCATTCTGCGACCAGTTACGGCTGAAAGTAAGTATATTCTCCTATGATTTATACTTATATTTTAATATTATCCAATTTAGGGTCTTTCAAAATACTTAATGTTAGTTACGAAAAAACACATAAGAAAAGATAAAGCGATTGATATAAAACGTTATTCAAAAAGTAAATTTCTCCATAAATAAAATGTTTAAAACGTAAAAATAAGTTTTATTGTAATTTTTTGTAGGAGAATGAATAATCATATATGAAAGTTAAGCACGTTAAACTCCTTTATCGAGGTTGATGGTTTGATTGGTAATCTTTCTATAAAAGGTAGAGCTTATTTCATAAAATATTTTTCAATAGTTACTTAATGAAATTAAGAAATATTTTTTCTGTAATATTATTGACTAGCCACTCCTCCCTATGTTGCTTCCCCATACAAAATTTCATCCCCATTTTCATCCCCTTAAGGGATGATTTCCGGGATAAAAATTATCCTATGTCCTTTCCAGGGTCTCAAACTATCTTTTTACAAAGTTTCATCTAAATTGGCTTAGCCTATTCGATATAAACAAATAAAAATATTTTTCTCCTCTCTTGTAACATTGAAATAGATAATTGCTTTGGTTAATGACAACTACTAATAAGGAAAAAAAACGAGTTGATTCTTTAGCGATTAAGTACATATTAATAGGTCAATAAGTGAATGGTTAATAAAATAATATTAAAGTACATTGATATACCTACTACATACAATGGTTTGAATAAAACCTTATAAGACCTTATCCAGTTATTGCTATCTGTTCATGCTACTCTACAATTAGCCAATAGGGTCCTATTGGCTAATTACTCCCTAAAAACAGTAAAAACCTAAAACCTGAAAGAAAGTAACGAGTACTAGTTACATATTATATTTTATTTTTTACTGCCGTTAAAATTTAATAAAAATGAACATAGTTTTTTTTATTGATTATACGTAAATAAATGTCATAGAAATCACTTTTAACATTTAGTATTTGCTTTATTTCAATCGATTCATAAATAAAAAAAGTTATGTCAATTTAAAGAATCACCTAGGGACGAAACCGAACGAAGCGAAATTGAGTCGCTAGTAAAGAAATACGTATGTACCTATAATATTATATTGTGTGGTTGTAACTTGTACGGAACTCTATTTGTATAAGTCCAATTCTGAAAACTCAAAATGGTGAAGAATGACAATAATATATCAGTTGGAATGCTCTAAAAAGTATCTTCTAAATCTTGGTTTAAAAAATAGCACAAGACCTCAAACCGAGTGCCGAAAACTTTAAAATTAATTTCGAAACAAAGACCACTGAATATGTAAATATTTTAATCATTGATTACTGAACTTTAGGTCACTAGTTTAAAAGTGAGCAATCGGATTACTAATATAAATGCGAAAGTTTGTATGTGTGTGTATATTTACTTCCTCACGCTGATATGGGTGCATGGAATTGAATGAAAATTACAAATATGTATAGATTAAACTAAAACTACTAACGACTAAAACTAGAACAGAAACAAACCTATCGCACAGGAACCGTACATTTTTCCGGGATGAAAAGTAGCTTATATGTTATTTCAGACTATCATCTATCTCTGTGGCAAATTTCATCCACATCCGTTCAGCCGTTCTGGCGTCAAAGAGTAACAAACATCCATACACAAACACATAAGCTACTGTTGGCACTTAAAGATGCGCCCAAGCGAACAGAGGGTAATTCTATTCTAACCTAGTATAGATACTACTATACATGAAAAATAAATCGTTTAATTTTGTTTACCAGTACATGTATATTGTATACAATATACAATATGTAGGTATAATGTACAAATAGTAGTCGGCGTAAAGTGATAAATAAAATGGCGATTTCCTTACATTAAATTTGACGACAGGTTTGGCTCAGTTTGAAGTGACACTACTTGCTGTGACAGCAGTCGCGGGTTCGAGTCCCGCTGGGGATATTCATTGTACGTTGAGCACGAACGTTTGTACTCCAGTCATGGGCGTTTATACTTATAATATGTATGTATTTAAAGTTATATATGTGTAATGTATCAACTATCTGGTATCCATAACACAAGCCTCGTAGCTTACCATGGAACTAGATGGTGCTATGTGTTATGTACCAACATAAAAAACATAAAATTTGAATTTTAAGGCAGGCATAAATCCATGGAAAGGAATAATTATATACAATCGTGTTATTCAAATAACGCCACACATTAATGACTCATAATCATTACACATCGATTACTCAATAATCAATATTTCTATTTAAATTCATTTTTCACAACTATAATGGCATGCCCATTTGATTTAAAAAAAATACTAAACTAGATAAAAAATAATTATGCGTATTAATTATAAAATAATTGGTTTTAATTAGAACGTAATAGTAATTAAAAAAATAATTCCTATTATTTTAAGGAATTACATACATAATATTATCACGTAGTGGAGAGTGTGTGGCAGAAATCATAAAACTTTACAATATCCTAAAATGGAATTGTAAAGATTTTTAGAGAAACATACTTACCAGAGAACAGGTATACCTACTTGTCTTTTTTCTGTTTCAACTAAGCGGATATTATTGATTTACATACGGCAGACCCCTCTGTTTTGATTAAATTTAATTAAAAGCAACTAGCGTTACTAAGCAATTCACATATTATTTTGATTTTGTTGGCTATACTCATTTTCGCTCATGGATTCATTCACCCGACTCCGAATATCTTGGGTTTGAGTCCCAGGTCTAGCCATGTTTTCTGTCAAGTAATTCTCAGTAACAGCCCGGAGTTGGAAAGTTGGCGGTGTTTCACCCTCGTGCCTCGGAGAGCACGTAAAGTGGTCGGCCCTGGGCCGGTTCTTTGACCGGTCGTGTCGAGTGGTCGTCCCACCGGAGTATGACAGTCACGGGTATAGAGAGTGTGAACAATTTGTGTTTGAGCGCCTACTTGTGCTATAATACTATAATATTTTCTCCTGCCTATATGATTAGTTTTATGAGATTAGCCGCCATGGCACAAATCGGTCAAGAACTCAAATCAAAATATATTTACTTTTGAATGAATTTTCTTTTTAAATTTAAATTAAACGTCAGTGTAGTCGGTTCGTGAGGAGTCTGCCACCGAAATATCTTATTTATTACCAAAAAATCAATTTGCATCCGCTTAAAAAATAAAGCTTAATATAAAAACAAGCTCAAGTATAAAATAAACAGACTAAAATGTTTATTTTAAGGTGATAATGACATCATATGCGATGCTTAAGTTTTTAAACTTATTTAAATTCATTTAAAAACCCGTATACGGTATACACAGTAATAAAACGAATTATTTTTTAATTTAACGCTTCACCAGTGACGTAGCTCCCCGAGGCAAAAATCTCTAGCTTAATCTCTCACGTAAATCTTTTATGAACCAACTACATTAATTTATTATAATATTAATAGCATTTTCTGTATAGGTACATTCATTATTATAGCATACCAAAAAATATAGTGTAATATTTCGTACATAAGATGTTTTCGTTTTTCATACGTAAAACTTTTGCAAAAATTAACGCTTATACAACAAAATTTTGCAAAATTAATTTAATTTTAAACACAAAATGAAAATTAAAATGTAGCTATTGAATGTGACTTTCTTAAATTTCTTATGTTGCCTAAGATAATATTATATTATCTTCGTTATTACTAAGTTAGACTCAAAAACATTATTGTCTTTACAAGGACGAAAAAAAAGGCTAAACCTAACCTCAATTATTATAATGCATTTAAAACCTTCCTTTTTATTACATCTTTTAGCATCCCTATTATAATACAATAACAAGCCAAATAGAGACTGTTTTGCAAATACATATCTTTTCGATTATAAGACGAAAGCGAATTGAGGAAACGATAATATAAGTCAGAGTTCATAATGACCGAGTTTTTGGAGTAAAATGATGTTAACTAAATTTAATTTAAATATTTTCATGAACTGGCTTAACATTCACGAATATCACAACTTAAACCAGAATGGAAACCTAAAAAAACTTATAAAATTAGTATATTATGATTCAGATATAGGTAAAATCTCCATTTCAACTCAATTTTTCTAGAACGAAACTTGGTACGAGTTATGTATTTTTTTTATTTACGATACCAGTAGAGGGTTAATTTTACATGTAAACATATGGATTAGAGTCACTTTTTACCCGACTGCGGCGAAGCCCAAAGGAGAGTTATGTGTTTGACCTGTATGTATGTATGTCCGACCATATGTTCCCTCGTAATTAGTACTTAACCGTAAGTAAGTAATTACGGCTTAACAGATTTAGATGATTCATACGTCATTAGATTTGTCTTAATAACGCGATAACGAACAAAAGTCGATCTTACACAAAAGCACCATGGTTTCAATACACGATACATTTTATATTACTTCTATATGCCTTTAAACATCTATTTGTCTTCACTGTAAGGTATATATAACTAGAGCCTTATATAATAATAATAAATATGTTGAGACATTAACACACAGCACCATCTAGTTCCATAGTAAGCTACGAGGCTTGTGTTATGGATACCATATAGTTAATACACTACACGTATATAACTTTAAATATATACATATTATAAATATAAACACCCATGACTGGAGTACATTCATACCTCAACACATAAATGAATGCCCCCAGCAGGACTCGAACCCGCGACCGCTGGCACAGCAAGTAGGGTCACTACAAACTGAGCCAAACGTGTCGTCAAATGTATGTTACTATTAGCCAAAATATAGCTAAATCTGTATTGACAAATTCTGAAATATGTAAGTGAGTCGATATTGCACTGTTCGTTCGACAAACTATATATCGTTTACGCAATGTCACAAATCGATCAGATTGTTTTGTAACCCGCAAATCAAATGTCTATTAGAATGTGTGACACCGCCAAATGGATACTAAATTGAGGAAGAGCGTTAAGCGCTGAGCTGTAATATTGTAGTCGATCGAGTTTGTAACAGGGTCACGGTTATTG